TAGTTTGTCATTAATTACAAAATTTGCTTCAAAATATTTTACTAGTTTCGTAGACGGTTGTGTTGAGGACGATCCTGCCATTTTCTCTTTCTTCTTCAAGAAACTCCACGATGATCCTTTAGGCCCCGAACTAGTAGTTGACGATGAAGTTCCTGTTCTTTTTTACCTGTGCTGTATTTTGCTTCATACAAACTAAAAACCTTTTCTAACATTTTCTTAGCGTCAGTAATACTTAGTTGCATATCTATTTCTAAATTCTCTGCGGTAGCAGTCATCAATGATTCAGTTTCATCTACTCCGCACCTAGGATCTAAAATGGTTGCCAATGCATATAACATATGACAACCTAGCCAATAACTTTTAAATTTATTTTCCATTAACTTAACTATATTTCTAAAAAGTTATGTATCCCTATAATAAGAAAATGTTTCTGATATATTAAATAGTTGATGTAAAGCTAAATGTGCAGTAGGATAATAAACTCCAGAAAGTAATTCAGTAGCATTGTAAAAAACTTCTAGAAATTTTAAAAAAAATACTCAGCAATCTGCCAATCAGGATCGAAAATTAAAATTTGATCGTTCTTGTTGTTTATGTATGTCGTGATAAGCTGTGAATACAAGAGTGCTGCCTTCAACATTAAATATGTTGAATTCCACCTATGTCTCACGTCAGTTGGAAACTTTCTTGGCCGCATATGACTGTTCCTGCAATATTGTTGAATTCTTGGAGCTGAGCTCCAAAAGTAGATATGAATGATAATGATTCTCTAATATTTGTAAGATTAGCTGAGATATGTTCAATTCCTGCCTGAACTACTAAATTAATTATGTGACATGCACACCGTTGATGAAAAATTTTCCCTCCAAATGCTGGTTTCAAACTACGTTTAAACAGATTAATTGCAGCTGTATTAGTCTAATATTTGTAAGATTAGCTGAGATATGTTCAATTCCTGCCTGAACTACTAAATTAATTATGTGACATGCACACCGTTGATGAAAAATTTTCCCTCCAAATGCTGGTTTCAAACTACGTTTAAACAGATTAATTGTAGCTGTATTAGCCGACATATTATCAAAAGTAATTCTTAAAACTTTATCTTCTATCCCATAAAATCCAAAAATTTATATTGTTGTACTAAAAATAGATGATGCGTTATGAGGATATGGACATAAACGAAAACTAATTATTTTTTTTTGTAAAACCCAATCATCATCAACGTAGTGCGCTGTAACACATAAATATCCAGTTTTATTGCACCCCTCCCACAGATCAGAAGTGCAAGAGACAGTAGCATTAAAAGCCCTAAAATTATCAACAAGAGATTGTCTCATTGCATAAAAAACTTTCATGCAATCAGAATGAGTTGTGTTTCTACTTACCCGTTTAAATTATGGACAAAAGGCTGTCTGGATGAATTCTTTGAACGAGGCATCATTTGCAAAAGAAAGAGGCAATTCGGCACTAGCTAGAAATTTAGCTAGTGCCTCACGAGCACGTTATGCATCGTATGTGAAATTTTGTAGCCCTTGCGATGTGAGTGATAGTGTTTGTTGGCGGGAGTCCACACTCCCACCTTGGTGCAACGGTAGACATACTTTCGAATGTCTATCCAGATGACCAGTACCCCCACCCTTATTAGAAAAGTGTTTTTTACAATATTTACATGCCGCACAAATTTTCATCTCCTCTGTTTTTGGATTTGGTCGGGGCTCCTCGGTGAAATGCTGCCATGACGGAGAAGTTCGCGGTCTTTTTCCCCTGCTGCGTTCTCCAGCTTCCTCGTTGTGCACTGAAACATTATCCACCGAAATATTTTCTGGTTCAGTGGGGGTGGGGTGGGGAGGCATCATTTCTTCCTCAAAAAATGCCTCATCACCAAGCTCAGGAATAGCAGTGAAATCAGGGAAGTTTGGTGCGACCATTTTCTGGAAATTGATAGAACTTGATTGAACTTTGTAACTGAAAGAGCAAGAAAATGAATGAACACGAGAAAAAAGCTTAGAATCAAAATCAAAGAGACAAGTTGAGAGATAGAATTAGAGTGAGATGAGAAGTTGAGAGTGAATTGTTGTGTGAGATTTATGGTGGAATTAAGGGGTATTTATAGAGGATTTTGGGGTGAAATTTCAGATTCTAGCCGTGGGGTCCTTCACGGGTCTAACGTGCGGCACGTGACGGGACTCCCGTTTGGCCCGTCACTTGCCAAACGGGAGGCACGTGACGGGCCAAACGGGAGGGCCATCACGTGCCGTCCGTTGGGCCCGCGAAGGGCCCCTTGGACCAATTGAAATGGGCTGTTTCATGGGCCGTTTTGCAGGCTTGGGCCGGGCCGAATAAGGGCTTGGGCCGTGCCGCGGGCCTCCACGTGCTTGGGCCGTGGGCTGAGAAGCTGAGGCCCAGCCCTAGCCTACTACACATACCGGGCCGGCACGACCCGTAACAGTAGTTAACCGGGCCGTGTCGAATCCGGCACTATTACGGGCTGGGCCTGGCCGTCCATGGACGGCCCGGCCCATTTCACACCTCTATGAAAAGGTGTATAAAAGGAAGGAGATAATTACACTACATAGTAAAATTTTATACCTTCAGTTTGAAATTTAACAAAATTTTCAGAATGTCATAAATATAGCAAAAATGACATAGTCATTATCATAATCATTTACATTTTACACTATATAATGATACAATTATTATTTTAATGATATCAACATTTTGCTATTTTAATAATATTTTAAAATTTTTGTTATATTTAAACTTTGTTATTGGAATTTGGGTAAATTGTAAAAACTGATCCTTAAACATATCGTTATAGAGTTCTACTCTTTTATTGTGATAGGCTACCCCTTTGATAATGATTTGTAAAATTATATATAGTAATATGTCAAATTATGCCTGCCGTCGATGATTAGAGACCCGTTGTCGGTGACTGGAGACCCGCGGCCAGTGTAATCTGTCAAATTACTTATTCTAGAAGGGTAAAATTTAATAGGTCAATGTTAAGACCTAAAAATCCTTAATGGTACCATTTTAAGGAGTCCGATGCCATGAAGAGTTTTCAGGGCCAATATTGATTCAACGTCAAGTCCATTATAGCGAACACGGGAAGGCTCATTGGATCTTGTAGCAAAACTATTAGGGTTAATTAGACTTATGGCCAAATTACACTTATGTAATTGAAATATAGCTTACATTTGAGAATATTTCATGTGTCCTAATTGTATAATAATATTTAAATAATGTATTATGTAATTACTTTTCTAACCTTTTAATGATATTAATTTCTCACTTATCTTCATATTGCTCTACTTTTTTCTCACATTTTATGATATATCAACCTTTTAAATCTCAAAATTAAAAAACCAAGTCCCATGAAATAAGAAATTTAAATATCATCAAAATACATGCTCATTAATGAAGGTTTAACTTATTTTGTTTAGCAATACACTATATCCTATCATTAAAATACAAGCTCATTAAATTAATATAATTTTTTTTTAACAATACACTATATCCTATCATTAAAATACATGCTCATTATTTTAATAATACACTATATCTTATCATTAAAATACATGCTTATAGCAAAAGAAGAAGTTTTCTAGTGAGAGAATACTAGATATAAAGAGAGTGAGGAAGAAGGAGAATAGTTTGACCGGCTACCAGAAACGCGTCTCCGGTCAACCGACCCCTAAAATACACCCACGCGCTTTGCGTTAGCTGATCTACATGATGGTGGAGTCCGTGTTGGTGCTTTCTTCCCTTTTTTTAGTTGTTCGTGGAATAAAGACAGTCATTCTGCCGGTGTTGGTATTTATTTTCCCTCACAAATTGTTAGATCTATGTGGGCTTTGGTTGTTTTTGCTGTTTTTGGTCGTGTTCCCCCACCAAGCTATAACCTTGTATAGGTTTTGTGTTGTCTTTAGCCAGATCTCTCACTTCGGCTAGTGTGATCAGTCTGTATAGAGATCAGTCTTTACAGAGATCAGTCTTTAAAGAGAGTTTGCTACAACCCTTTCAGAAAAGCCAACCATAGAGGGAGAATTAAACGAGCCAAGAGAAGTGCTTTAAATTGTATCCATTATCGGACCTTGGATCCTTGTACTAGGACGCCAATAGATATATCTATTTTGGTTTGTTGTATCAAGTTTTCTGTATTGAGTTTTCTGTAAAGTTCATGGTTTTTTAATTAATGAAATATTTTTTACATTAAAAAAAATACATGCTCATAAAATTAATGACATTATTTTGTTTAACAATACACCATATCATGTCATTAAAATATAACTCATTAAATTAATGACATTATGAGGTATTTTTAACTATTATTATCTATGTTTGATCTTTCGTTAAAAAGATTTAAAACTAATATTTATCATATATTTAGGCATCTTTCATTTTACCGATTCGAGTTTTTAATTCTAGTTTTGTTACAGTTAAAAACTTTCATAAAAAGTAATATCTAACTTTTTTACTACAGTTAAAAGCTCTAATATAAAATCACATCTCAATTGGAATTAAAAACTTGAATCGGCGAACTGAACGAGACCTTAGCTTTTTTTAATTTTAGATTCTCCTAAAGTTGCTTTCAGATTAGTTTGACTGCTTTCAGATTTTGTATATTCAAAATTCAATATTCTTTGTAGGTAATGTATGTAGATAATGCTTGGTTGTTTCTAGAATCCAGAAATAGTCGGTCAATGAATTAGGATCATTTTTTTTAGCAATTTAATTAAGAGAAAAATAGAGAAGTTGATCACATATAATTATAAACATGCGGAGCAAAAATTTCTAAAAAAAATGTCAAATAAAATTAATTAAAGTGGTATTTTTGGGTTGCCAATAAATATATTTCAAAAAATAAGCTATTGTAAAATTCAGCCGCATTTTAATTCAACCTTGAAAAAACGGTCATATTTTGTAATTTTTATTTTTTAAAAACTGTTCCCGCCATTATCAAACGTATTCAAACTTTGAAATTCCGAAGTACCAAAAAAAGCAATACACCCTTTTTCGTTTTCCCTTCCTTCATTCGAAATCTGTCAACTCTTTCTCTACTCTGACTCTGAGTCCGAAGAAACCGACTCTAATGGACCCTCATCCCACTCCCTTTCCAGGTACCATTTACTATTTTCTCTTCGTTTTCCATGGTTGCTTTTAATATTTCTGCCAAATAAGATAGTCATGTTAGAATATCTAATGTTTTTATGGTCCACAATCAAAGAAGTTTTATATTTGAAATTTGAATATTGATGTTCATAATTTAGGAGAACTGATGATGGGTTTTAAATTTTTTTTTTAATATGGTGACTATTTTAAAAAGAATTGATGATAGGAGTAACAAATCTTATTTATTTTCTATTCACTACTTGTTTGAAGGAAGTGATTTTCACTTATATAAACAGACGAAGAACGTTAATTGCTTGTGTATTTTTGTTCCTGATCATCTATGGCTGAAGGTGAATTTTTTTTTCTTTTTGTGATTTATTTTCTAGCACGTTAATCACAAATTGCTTAACTAAAACGCAGGCAAAAATCAGCCCCTCAAACCCAATCCACACCGGAAAACCACCGGACCTTCAAAACCCGCCTCCCGAGAACACGTAACTTACAGGTAACAAACACACTTCACATTCTGTTTCAGTCATTTTCTCCGAAAACTAATTTATATTTTTCCCTGTTTTACAGGCAAAAGCGAGTCTTCGGAACCGTTCGAAATGCCAACATTCCGACGAGAACCGTCTCCGAAAAGCCGGCGGTCGCAAAACCCTCAAATGCGGGTCCTCGGAAGCAGCCCCAAAGGACACGGCCTGCTCGAGTTCCGGTAGCGACTGAAGCTGCAAAAAAGGGGAATTATCCTGAAAACCTGAAACCCGAGTCGGACCAAAAAAGCGTGTCGCTTCAAGAAGAAGTCGGGAAAGAGACTCCGATCGAAAAGCTTCGGACTCCGGTGATGACAGCGTCGCCTTCTTTAAGCCAGCGCAAAATCGCCGTAGGCTCTCCGTACCAAAGCGCCAAGATCTGTAGCAAATGCCGATTCGATAAGCTCGAAACCTCGGCGTACTGGCTGGCTCAGATCAAGCTGTCGGAGTCAGTTGGGAAGCACTTTGTGTCGGCTGCGTTCTTTAGACTTGCCTTCGAATCCAAGGCCGAGGTGAACATTTTGCAATTGAAACTGGATATTGTGCGTGTTTACAATTGGAAGGGTATTTTTGTCATTTTAATAATTAACAGTCAAATTGTATGCTAATGTCTGTTTACTATAGGAAGAGTATTTTTTTCATTTTTTTTTTAAAAATAATGGTTAAATCGTATGTTTCTATTATGTTTGATTAATGATAAGACATATCTCTGTTATTTTTTTTAAAAAAATTGAGAAGTGTTAGACGTAAAATGTTTTAGTTACTGAAGTTTGATTTAGATAAAAGACAAGATGTGTTAATATAATTCTCATTTTGTTTAATGTGTTTTTGTAACATGATTTGTAAATGTGTAGCCCAATCGAAACCTCCGTATCGAACTGAAGAAGTATTTGGTGCGAAACGGGCACTTAGCCGGACAAACGGAGTGGAAGGGGGTGTGTGTTCGCTATGGAGTGTTAAAGGAAGAGAAGGAAACAGAATGCTTTGATTCAGCAATTATGAAATCGGACGTAGAACATCATGCCTTTTGTCAAACTGAAGAGATTGAAAGCATGTAAAGATTAGGAGAAGGGGGGGGAAATTATGCTTATATGTACAAGTTTTTTGCCTTATTTGAAAGTTGTTTTATATTCAAGTGTTGTACCCAAGTAATTTGTTTCTGTCTAGTTTGCAAATTTTTATAATCGATAAATGGATACCTGTGAATGCTAAGTGCCTTTTCAATTTGTGTACCAAAAAGATTTGAGACGATGCTCTCTTTTTTATGTTTGTATGGTTGTTAAAATCTGTCGTTGATTTTTGCTTTTCTGCTCTTTTTTGGTGCATTGGATCAGAAAAAGGAAAGTAACAGGTTAAGAAGAAAAAAAGGGGCATTCCGAGAATTGAACTTGGGACCTCTCGCACCCTAAGCGAGAATCATACCACTAGACCAAATGCCCTTTTTGTTCTTAATCAGACAATATATTTTACTCATTTTTTTTATAATCGATAAATGGATACCTGTGAATGCTAAGTTCCTTTTCAATTTGTGTACCAAAAAGATTTGAGACGATGCTCTCTTTTTTATGTTTGTATGGTTGTTAAAATCTGTCGTTGATTTTTGCTTTTCTGCTCTTTTTTGGTGCATTGGATCAGAAAAAGGAAAGTAACAGGTTAAGAAGAAAAAAAGGGGCATTCCGAGAATTGAACTCGGGACCTCTCGCACCCTAAGCGAGAATCATACCACTAGACCAAATGCCCTTTTTGTTCTTAATCAGACAATATATTTTACTCATTTTTTTTATTAAACAATATATTTTACTATTTGTTCAATCTTGAACGTATCAAAAAGCATATCTTGTTAAAGACTATAGATGTTCCGAAAAGCAAGGTACTTTGTTTGAATTTAAATTGGATTTGGATTATTCGTCCCCAGTGTTGCAACCATACTGTAATTTGGTAAAAAAAAATAAAAGGAAATCAAACAATGTATCGAACAATCATCACTCAAACGGTAATTAGAATCTAAATTTTACAAATTTTCTTACCTCAACGTGGAATCAGCCAAATTGTCTTCTTAATGATTGTGAGTAATGAAAGCTGTTGAGCGGTATTTTTTAAAAGCATTAAAGGCGTAATTAATTCGGAGCCTAAAGCTCTTTTGAGTTCAATCTTTTCTGAGCTCAAGCTCGCCGGAGCTCAATCTCTCCTGAGCCCATGTAATCTCTCCCGAGCCCAAGCTTACCTAAGGTCAATCTCCTATGCAGTCAATCTCTTCCAAGTCCAAACTCGTCTGAGCTCAAGTTCTCCCGAGCCGAAAATTTAAAGGTCGCATGATATCATCAAGTGAAATAATTGACGCTAATTGAAGACATAATGATTGAAAGTTAATTCTCATTGATTATTTTATCAGTTTTAATTTCCAAAAAAGTGAAGAGCCTCATTGTAATTAAAATAGAATAAACTCTCAAATTAATGGGAGAATTAAACTCTTTCACACCGAATGTACTATAAATTCCCTCGATTTAAGAGAAAAAAGGAAGCACTCATTCTTGAATATAATTATCTTGAGATTCTCTTTATTTCGTTCTTGTTATTTTTCTGAGGTGATTTGTGTTTTTTGAGTGTTCATCCAATCTCCTTTAGGTTGTTTGTCCTTTCAATCCGAATTTCTAGTTGAGGGACATTGGTAAAGTGTTGGACGAAATTTTGCACCAACAAAAACATTATTTTTTTTCTTTAGTCAATTATGGTCGTTAAGTTTTGTGATATATTTGCTGTTGTTGTTATTATTAAAAATTAATGGGCGTGTTTGGAATTCGTTCTAAAATGATTTTGTTTTTTGTATGAAAATGAAAATGAAAACATTTTCAATCTCAGACAGAAATCATTTTTGAAAATACATTTGATAATTTTATCAAGAGATTATTTTCAGTATAAAAAAACTCATTAATGTCTCTCTCTCTCCTCGAGAGAGGAGAAAACGAAAATAAAAAATAAAAAAGACTAAAAGTCATTTTTCATTTCTCTCTCATTTTACACTAAACTAAAAAATCGTTTTCATTTCTGTTTTTTGTCTTTATTGCGCCAAATACTGTTTTGAAAACGTTTTCATTTTTTCTTTCTCAAAAAATGTGAAATACAAAACAGGATCAATTCTAAACGCAACCAATCATTTTTAAAAGATGGGTATTAAATTATTTGTCTTCAGTTCAGCTTGTCATTTTGGAAATTCATGACCACTCTTGAAGCTTCATGGATATAAATTGTAGTGGGTTATTTTGGAAAAAAAAAAAGAAAAAATTGAAAATTTACATTTGAGAGTACATGAGTCTGAATTTTTATCTATTATTTTTTATAATGACTTTTTGTTAGTGTAATTATTTGACTAAAAAAGTTATGAATTAAGAGTAAATGATAAAAATCTTGACACATACACTTTTAAAAGGTATTTGTCAAGATTACTTAAAAAGGTCTTCTTTTTTCATTTTTTGTAAATATATTTTTTTATTAAAATGACAAATTGAATATTCATATCCTAAAAAAGGCTTAGAGTACTTAAATGATATTTTAAAAACTATAATATACATATTTGAGAAATAAGGAAAAAATCAAAAATACCATTCAAAATAGTAAAGAAATATTATTTATATTATTTCACTTAAAAAATAACAATTATCATCCAATTAATAAAGGAAACAAAAGGCTATAATAATATATGTATAAAATTATGATAAATCATGTACATATATTATCCAAATAGCATGGGTATCTTTTGCATCATGTTAAAACATAATACACCAAAATGATAAAGAAATTAACCACGGGCCCATCTTTTTAACTTAATAACTAGGAGTCCGTTCATACATTACCGCACGGAGTGCAGAGCGCATATATATATATATATATATATTTACACACACACACGCACAAACTAGTATGGTATTGTGGCTACAGCACTTTAACTTAAAACAAAAAAAATGAATGGAAAGAGATGTCTTTCATATTATGAGATAGTCTCACTTATCTCACTTTACTTTTCGGTAACATTGTCTCATCCAGTTTAACGTTGTATGAATAATAACAATACGACAAACAATTATGACAAACAATTATGACAAGCAATTATTTCAAACGTAGGTTAATAATCCTACGAGATTATAATAATGGAAGCATAAAAGGATGAAAATTTAGGTTCATTACAAAGAGTAGTAGGTGTTGGGATTGTTTAAATATAACATTTAAGAATTTGTTAAGTTTTATCACATTTAAAAGTGGATAAAATTTCTAGTAAGTTGGGCGTTTTGGCGCTGTATTTAGGTGCCGCAGCGCGGGACTGGACAAAATTTCTAGCAAGATTGGCGCATTGGCGCTGCATTTGGGCACCGCGGCGCTGGACTGGCAGAGAGCATAGCGCCGCGGCGCTGAGTTTGGGCGCCGCAGCGCTCTGACTTGCGCAGACGGTTTCTAGTTTTCCATAAACTGGCGCTACAGCGCCTGAAACTGGCGCCGCAGCGCCGTAACATTCAGATATGTTTTTTGAAACTTAAATTGACACCAATTCAAATGGGAAATGTACCTTTTCAAGTTTGGTTGTGTCTATACGTAATGGTGTGATAAAAAACTATAAAAGAACAAGAATTGTTGATAAATAAGTGAGAAATAATACTCTGAAATTCTTCTCTCTTCTTGTTCAAAACTTTCCAGAAATTTAAAGAGTTTCTTGTGTTCTTAGTGTTGTTGTCATTTTGCTTGTGATTAACAACTTGAAGGCTTGTCATATCATGCGAGCGATTTGCTAAGAACCCGAAGCAATCTCTAATGAGAGGGGGCAAATTACGCTTTAAGGAAAGCGTACTTTCTACGTGTTTCAAGTCTCATTTTCCTCAAGATTTCTAACAATCTTAAAGCGTAACTTACCGAAATGGAGACCGAAACTACCGTTGCCACTATCAAATTGATGAACCAGGACTTGGTTAAATTGGATCGTTTTGATGGGACTAACTTTACAAGGTGGCAGGATAAATTGAAGTTTCTCTTGACTGCATTGAAGATCTTCTATGTTTTGAGTCCAGATTTGGAGCCTATTCCCAAACCAACCGATGATGACTCTGAAACGTTGAAGGCGGAATGAAAGAAACGAGAGGAGGATGAGTTGATATGCCGTGGCCACATTCTCAATGCTCTCCCCAATCGTCTCTATGATCTCTACACCAATACATCTTCTGCAAAAGAGATATGGAACGCATTGGAGTTCAAATACAAAGCAGAAGAGGAAGGTACCATGAAATTCTTAATTTCAAAGTATTTTGATTTTAAATTCTTTGATGATAAACCAATTTTACCACAAGTGCATGAATTGCAAGTGATTGTCAATAAGTTAAGGGTGAAAATTGAACTTCCTGAATCATTTCAAGTAGGAGCAATTATTACTAAATTGCCTTCTACTTGGAAAGCATATAGGAAGAAGATTTTGCATAGTTTCGAAGATTTTTCATTGGAGCACATACAAAAACATCTTCGGATCGAAGAGGAGTCAAGGGCAAGAGATAAGAATGAAAATTCTTATGAGGCTATTTCCAAAGCCAATGCCGTGACTAAGCCCTCACAACCCAACAAGAACAAGAATTTGGGTCCTAAAAAGGATCAAGACAAATTCAAAAATACACAAGCCAACAAGAAACCCAAGGGAGCATGCTTTGTGTGTGGCAAATCGAGACACTATGCAAGAGATTGCCGCTACAAAAAAAAAGCCTAGCGATGAGGCTAAGGTGAACTCTCTTGAAGAGGAAGAGATTGTCGCTACTATAAGCGAAATCAATGTGGTACAAGCAAGGTTCCCGGATGGTGGTATGACACTTGTGCTACCGTTCATGTTTCTTATGACAGATCTCTATTCAAAATTTTTCAAGATGTGAGTGACAGACAAGAGATTCAAATGGGGAATGAAGTCCGTTCCTAAGTGCTTGGCAAAAGGAGTGTGGAACTTGCATTCACTTCTGGGAAGAAAATCACTCTAGCCAATGTACTTTATGTACCCGATATGAATAGAAATCTAACTAGTAGGGATCTTTTGGGTAAGCCCATGATTAAGGTTGTGTATGAGTCGGGCAAGTTAGAGTATGTTTGGTACCTAGATTCGTTCCCTGATTCGAATCATGGTTCGTGGTTCGCTACAGTATTTTTTCTCACAAAAAATACACGTAAATAAAAAATAATTCTAATCACATGGTTTGAATCCATGAACCAAAC